TTATTTCGAGATGATACATAGTGATAGATCGGCCTGTCATCTTCCAGCTCAATTTAGTAGCATTTACTTCTTATGGCCATGCAGTGTTAGCGTTAGGTTACTATAATCCAAATTGGCTTTATTTATAGCAATAGTGATAGTCACAACCTTGGTATAATCTAGAGTTGCTGGTGAAACTGGTGAAACTCTTGGTGAATGGTGGTGAATGGTAGTAAAACTGGTAAAACTTAATATAACAGCTAATTAGATTTTAGATAGTCACCAGTTTCACTAGCATTATTTAGTTTCACCAGCAACTCTAGTATAATCACACTTAAGTGAATCATGTAATATTACATCAATCTTTTAGGATAAAAAGATTATCAGTTTTGCAGTTATAATCAGTTTCGTTAAATGGAATTTAAATTTAAAGGCCAAAGTATTTATGAAAAAACTATATCAAAATTTTTAAAACATTCTTATTATCAGTTCTTTAAAGATAGCGAAATAACTCATTGGAACTTGTATGATTTTTTACTCTATAGAATCAAACAACAGGACTTTAAGATCGTTTCTCAGTTGGAAAGCAGTTATTATCTAAGTTTTTTAAAATATTTTAAAAATGAGCACCATGAAGAAAGCGAATTTCTTATAAAGCAATATAAGGTAATAAAAGCTTGTACTGATATTTCTAAAATAGGTTTAATATTCATACTAATTCAAAATTTTAAGTATTATAGAACTGTGTATTGTTAACAAAGATAAAAGCCTAGTAGAACATTATTTCTGGAAATGATGTAGAAGAACTTCAATTAGTTCTTGATACAGCATTAAACTTGAAAGACAATTATTGTCAAATTGAATACTCAGAGATATCTAGTAAATACCACTTGTTATTTATTATGCAGATGATTTATATTTCATTTTTAAATAGGATGAGAAGGTTCTATTATCAAACCAAAAAGAATCTTTATGAATTGTTTATAGATCGAATAAATTTAATAGACTATGATGATATCAAATATTTTGAGTAAATAAATTTATTGTTTGATATTGAACACTTATATATTTATTGATATACGTGTATATTAACTTCTATATTTTTAGCTCTATTAAAAGTAGCATCATTTGCATTTACAATCTTGACTCTCAACTGAAAAAAAAATTATCCAAAGAGGATTTGGACTGTCTGTCAGAAAGATTATTATTTACCATCAATCATCTTAATGATTCATACGTTAAGGGTTATATTGATGATATTTTAGCTTGATATACAGACTTGAACACTGCACCACTGCGAATCAATTCAAAGATACCAGAAATTTCTCCAGATTGTAGCTTTGGAGCAAAAATACAAGGTAAAATATATCAAACCATATTGAATCATATATAAGTAAAAAGCTAGTATTTATTAGATACCATATACAATTTAAACTAATATAAAATTACTTTAACAGAGAGCAGTCAATTTGGATGAATTCTTATAAAGCAGATAGAATTAGTAAACAACAATATACAGCTGATACAATATATAGCTTTATTTTCAAATTATTAACGCATATTAATGATAAACTTTATACATTTTTGTGAGTATAAATTTAAAATTTCATTAATTTATATTATTTTTATAATCAATTTATAATTTTAGCAGAGAAATAACCTCAGATAGATCTTTAAAGAGAAAATGGATCTATAAATTACTTGGGTTGAATAAAAGAAAAAGTATAATTGGTCGTCATTGTGATTTACTTTTGTGTGACTATTATGACTATGTACATTTGGTTGGTAAAGTAAGTGGGTTGCCTTCAAAAAGCCTTCTCAACAAGGAAAGATTTGATCTTGGGAGAAATAATCACAATGACAAGGATGAGAAGAGTCTTTGTAAATTGACTATAGTGGCAGAATTTGGACCAATTCTGGATGAATAAGATTTAAATACTTTATTGAACGAAATATTTGTATTTATGATTCAAGTAAAAAGTATATATTTTCATATTTGAGAAGTTTATAAAAATTATTAATTAACATTATATACAGAAAAAACAATGAAAACATCCATACTGGATCATATAATGAATAAAGTCTATCGTTCAAGACTCTTAAATAGGGCAGAAATTCTCTTGGAGAGAAAAAACATTGATAAAGTTGGCTTTTTACAATTTTTATTTACTATTTACGAGCTGATCGTAAGTAAACATGACATCTTAATCAATTGGAATATTTTACCGATCTATACATATTATTTTGTATAGATCTCTATTGCCGAAAATTTTAACAAATTAGAAAAATTAATAAATGAACTTTCAAGAAAAAAGCAAGAATGGATAGCCAAAAATGTTAATGTTGATTTTGATACCTTGGAAATAAGTGAAGCTGCCAAAAAACTTGTGCTTTCACAAACTATTACCACATCAACTCCGTCATCATCACTATCAAGTGATAATTTTACTGGTTTTCCAAAAGAATCAATAGTTAACCTACTGGATTTTTTCTAACTCTAGAGAGGGCCAAGGAAACCTTAAGAGAAATAAATTCTTTATTCCCAAATGAACAAGTTTTTGTCATAGATAATGCTATTCTTCTTACTCCGAAACGTGTGCCAATTAGCACTAATAATGACGATTTAATTCCTGACATTCAAATTTAAAAAAAATAGTATTATTATAAGAAGCGCTGTTGATCCAGATAATCTATTATTACTAATTGATTTGAAGCATTAACAGCCCAGATTATAATGAGAAGTCAATAAGTTTCAGGTTGGTAGTACAAATTGTCATGAAAAGTATTATTAGCTTGGATGGACGGAAGCGTTAGCAACCTGGCTCATGATATAAGTATTAACTACTTGAAATCTATTAAACTAAAATGTAAATAAAAAAACTATCTGAATTGTAATTATTTGAAGCATTTTTGAGAGCATTTAATTGAAATTTAAACTTTGAATCACACTAAATTAGATCAAATTATTGTTAATTATGCAAGTCTCTAGCAAGATTCTATTAATATAAAAAGCATTGTAATTGAAGTACTGTATATTCTTAAATTTACGCATTTTAATGTAAAAAATATTAAAGTAGTTGGATTATTCCAAAGCAATGATCAAATGATCTAACAGATCTGTAGGCCCGTGAAATCATGTAATATAAACTTGCTAGCAAATTTCTAAACGTTAACAACGGTTTTCTTTGTAATAAAGCTACAAATATAAAATATAAATATAAATTTAATCAAATAGAATTAACTTATGTTGTATAATAAGTAATAAAATTTACATCTTTTTCTAAATTCACATCTCTTTCTAAATTCACAATCCTTATGTCTTTTGATTCAATTTCGATTTTTATTTGGTTTACAATCATCAAAATTCATTCGTTCAATTCTCATATTCTTAAACTAAATAAAATATTTAAAATTTTATTATTATGAAAATTAAAATAATAATAATAATAATAATAATAATAATTACAATGTCAATATACTTGTCTTTTTTATGACTAGATCTTGATTTCATGGATATATATAATTCATCAACATTAATAAAATTATTACTATCAGCATCAATTTTGTTGAAGACTTTTTTCATGGCTTCTTCTTTAATATAATATTCAGTCCTAGCTATTAAAACATAAAATTATGAATATAACAGAAAAAATAAAAATAAAAATAAAAAAATCAATAAAAAAATAAAAAAATATATGTATAAAAAAACATATACACATATTGGATTGATTTTAATTTCAAATACAAAAATATAATGTTTTTTTAAAAAAAAAAAACAAAATGGATGTTTAATAATACTGACTAGCTATAGTTCAAGAAAAAACAAATTTGTTTATATATGGATTAACCATTTATAATTGTTTTTGAAATTTGGTTTTCTCTTGTTGTTACCTACACAATAGATACATATAATTTTCATAATAATCTGTAATTGGTCAAATTTATCATTACACACAATGCAAGTTTCTATATTTGGGGATTATCTTGACAACTACCAAGCCAAATTTGATAAACTGTTTTTATTTGAATTCTATAAAACTGTAGAATTCAACTGAAAAAAATTTTATCTGGTGATTGTCAAGACATCTTTGCTCAAAGTTTTAAATTTTCAAAGCATCTATCAAAATAAAAGCTGCATCAAAAATTTTCCAAACTTTGAAGATATCTCAACAACTACCAAGCTAAATTCGATGAACTTTCTTTTATTTGAATTCTACGAATTCATAAAATTCAAATAAAAAAGGTTCATTGAATTTGACTTGGTAGTTGCCGAGATACCTTCGCTCAAAGTTTCTAGAAAACTCAAAACATCTATCAAAATAAGCTGTACCAAAATTTTTCTTGGGTTTGAACGAAGATATCTAGGCAACCACTAGACCAAATTTAATAAACTTTTTTTTACTTGAATTCTATTAAACTGTAGAATTCAAATAAAAAAAGCTCATCAAATTTGGTTAGATAATTTTCAAGATATCGTTCAAAATTGATTTACAAGGGTAGCCACCTATCTTCAAATCGTTCTAACTCCTGCTCTAGTAAAGCAAATTCAATTCGGTAACTTGCAAACAATATATGAATCGTATAGTTATAAAACTATGTTGAGATATTTAAGAATAATATGTAAATATTTCAGGTCTCTATAGCATAAACTTTTAAATCGTAAATATTTTACTATTTAAATTCGTAATTAAAAAAATATTTAGTTTTTTTAACTATATTAATAAAATGAATTAATAAATGTCTCAACATAGTTTTAAAACTACACTATTCATATATCATTTGCAAGTTACAGAATCTAATTTGCTTTACTAGAGCAGGAGTTAGAATAGTTTGAAGATACACAATTTTTATAATAAATTTCTATCTTGTGCCATAAGAAGTAAATGCTACTAAATTGAGCTGGAAGATGACAGGCCGATCTATCACTATGTATCATCTCGAAATAA